TTGCCTCATCAGCAACAGCATCATCAGTAGCATCAGCACGATCATCATCATCAGCATCCACACCATCATCACCGCCAGCATCATCATCAGCACCATCATCATCATCATCATCATCATCATCAGCATCATCATCATCAGCATCATCATCATCAGCAGCAGCAGCATCAGCATCAGCATCAGCATCATCAGCAGCAGCAGCGTCGTCGTCGGCGTGATCCTCCTCCTCATCCGCACACTCCTCCGTCTCCTCCTCCTCCTCCTCCTCCTCCTCCTCCTCCTCCTCCTCATTCTCCTCCGCCTCCTCCTCCTCCCCCTCATTCTCCTCCGCCTCCCCCGCCTCCTCCGCCTCCTCCCCCTCCTCGCCCCAGGCCGGCGCACACTAGCCAACGCCCAGGGGAGCGGGGGGAGGGGGTGCAGGGGGAGGGGGGGGGGGGCACGGCACGTCGAGGGGCACGCGCCCACGGCGCGGGCGCGCGCCAGGGGCAGCCTGTGCAGTTGGCGGGGGGGGGGAGGCAAAAAGGTTAAGGAGGAGGAGGAGCAGGAGCAGGAGGAGGCGGGGGCGGAGATGGAGGGGGCGATCGGAGGCGGAGGAGGAGAAGAAGGAGGGTGGAGGGAGGAGGGAGGGAGGGAGGAGGAGAGAGGCGGAGGCGGGAGGAGGAGGAGGAGGAGGAAGGAGAAGGAGAAGTGAGGAGAAGTGAGGGGAAGGGAGGAGGGAAGGGAGGAGAGAAGGGAGGAGAGAAGGGAGGAGAGAAGGGAGGAGGAAAGAAGGGAGGAGGAAGGGCGGAGAGAAGGGAGGAGAGAAGGGAGGAGAGAAGGGAGGAGAGAAGGGAGGAGAGAAGGGAGGAGAGAAGGGAGGAGAGAAGGGAAGGGACGGGAGCAGGGGAAACGGGGAACGATGAGGTGGAGAAGGCAGGCGGTGGGGGGGCTCGCGAGCTTAGAAAAGAAGGAAGAGGAGGAGGCCCTGACTTCTCCCCCAGCACCTTCCTCATAAGCATCCTCATCGTCCCCCTCATCCTCACCATGTCTGATCCTTCGCCTCGTCATCCGCCTCCTCCTCCTTCTCTTCATCGTCGCCCTTCCCCTCCCCCTTCAATGTATACACACACATGTGTACAACGTGTATACGCGCATCTTGGTTCCAGCGTCGGCTGATCCTCCGCTTCCTCGCACTCGTCCTGCTCCTCCTCCGCCGCCTCCTCCTCTGCCTCCTCCTCCTCCTGCTCCTGCTCCTCCTCTTCCGCCTGGTCCTCCCCCCCCCCCACCCGCCCCGTCTTCAATACCCAAAAAGCTCATGACAGTATCATTATCCGCCTCCTCGGCATCCTCCCTCCTCCTACTCTGTCCTGTATCATCCTCATCCAAATCTAGATCCGTGGCATCGTCGTCATCATCCGACTCCGTATCTCCGTCAGCACCCACATCCTCCTCGTGGTCCTACTCCATAGCCCAAGTCCACCTCCTCGTCCGCCGCCCAATGTTAGTAGCAATCAGCATCCTCGGCCCATCCTCATGGTAGCAACCGTAAGCACGATAACGCATCGCCTGCAGCACCAATATCATTGCTGACAACAACATATGTGCCAGCTTCACCACCATAATCGTCATCCACATCACCTCCACGTAGTACTTATCATCGTCACCAGCATCATCATCAGCATCATCAGTATCAGCATCATCCTCATAATCAGCATCATCAGCAGCAGCATCATCAGCTACAGCAGCATGAGCAGCATCAGCAGAATCATCATCATCGTAATCGTCAGCATCAACATCATCAGCAGCATCAGCAGCATCAGCAGCATCATCGTCATCATCGGCATCCTCAGCATCGTCATCATCAGCAGCAGCATCATCACCACTACCATCAGCATCGTCAGCATCATCAGTATCATCATCAGCTGCTGCAGCAGCATAACCATCATCATAATTATCAGCCTCATCATCAACATCCTCATAGTCATCATCATCATAAGCAACTGTCCCGTCATGAACATTATCGGCGTCATCGTCACCATCAGCATCATAATCAACATCAACAGCAGCAACATCATCAATATCAGCATCCGCTTCAGCATCAGCATCACCATCATCATTTTTTGTCTTGAGAAAATGCGAGCGGACAGAGATGTACCACAACAACTCATGCGAGAGACCAGTAAGCATCCAGCCGAACGGCTGTCCTGCGAACATGGCCGAAACTCGGGCCGCAAACCCGTTCATCGAGCAGGGAGGAGCGGAGGGGAGCAGAGGCCCAGGAGGAAGAGACGATACACGAAGCTGGGGCACTTGCCGGCCAACCTGCAACAGGTGAGCCGCATCGCACCAACGGGATTCAGGAAAAGGGGGGCGGAGGAGTAGATTCAAACAACCCGCATGGCCCAGATGGCCATAATTAACAAATCCACGAAGGACGACTGAACAAACGCGCCGCGTGTGCGACCCCGATGGCTGGCCAGCCACTTATATAATGCACAGAATGGAAGCCAAACGCAACGCCGAGAGTAGCGAAGAAACACCATCGCTACGGACTCGGGTCCAGAAAGGAGAAGGAGGGGGAGGTGGACAAGGAGAGGCAGGAGAGAAGAATCACGCTTTTTATCGCATCGATCGCGCAGCGAGGACGCAATACTAACGTTAAACAGTGCGACGGCAAGACAGAAAGGAACGAGGGAAGAGAGAGAAGAGAGAGAGAAAGGAAGAGAGGAATCCCACGTGCAACCCAAATGAATGCCCAGCGAGCGCTGGGACAGCCTGGAGAAGATCACGACATGAGTGAAAATAGATTGCGGCCATGATGAGGAAGGCCAACTACGCCTCATCACACGGGCGGCGCCAGCAGCCAGGGGTGGAGAGGAGGAGGGGGAGGAAGAGGAGGCAGGACGGAGGGGAGGACAGGGAGGGAGGACAGCTGCCCCGTACACGGCTTCAGGAGGACAAGCGGCAATAGCCCCGGACTCGGCACTCTAGGCATATGCATGCTGGTGTGTGTGTATATATATATATATACGTATGCGCCAGAAAATGCTGAAAACTGAGGCCTGGCCGCGGGGGCGTTTTGAACGCGCGGCTCACGAGAGCGCGTGACTTGGCGTGGCTCTCCGTCGCCTGCCGCACGTACCTCTGGAAGAGCTCCGAAGCGTCAGACCGCGCCGCTCCATGCAGTATCATCATGATCAGCCTCATCATCATCATCATCATCATCATCATCATCATCATCATCATCATCAGCATCATCACCATCAGCATCAGCATCAGCATCAGCATCATCAGCATCATCATCATCATCATCATCATCATCATCATCATCATCGTCATCATTAACATCATCATCATTATCAACATCATCAGCAGCATTGGAATCCGCATCAGCATCATCTGCAGCAGCATCATCGTAATAGTCATCCACAACCTCATCATCAGCACCATCATCATCAACATCGTCATCATCGTCAGCAACGTCATCATCGTCGTCAATAGCATGCACCATCATTGCCCGCGTCGGCATCCACACAGCAGCAGCATCAGCAGCGTCATAATCTGCCTACTAATCACACGAATCAGCATCACCGTCACCATCATCGTAGTCGGCATCATAATCATCATCATCATCATCATCATCATCATCATCATCATCATCATCATCATCATCATCATCGTCATCATCATCAGCATCATCATCATCATCACCATCATCATCATCATCAGTATCATTATCATCATCAGCAGCAGCATCATCATCAGCATCAGCATAGTCATCAGCATCATCATCAGCAACAGCACCATCATCATACTCATAATCATCATCATCAGCATCAGCATCATCAGCATCAGCATCAGCATCAGCATCAGCATCAGCATCATCATCATCATCATCATCATCATCATCATCATCATCATCAGTATCGGCATCGTCGTCATCAGCATCAGCATCAGCACAACAATCAGCAGGCGCATCAGCATCATCATCATCAGCATCGTCATCAGCGTCTTAATCATCAGCATCATAATCAGCAGCATCATCAGCAGCATCAGCATCATGATCGGTATCATCGTTGTCATCAGCATCACCATCATCATCAGCATCATCATCACCATCAGCATCATGATCATCATCATCACCATCATCATCATCATAATCCGCATCATCATCTGCATCATGATCATCATCATCATCATCAGCATCAGCATCTTCATCCTCAGCATCGTCGTCGTCATAATCTGCATCATCAGCGGCACCATCAGCATTACCATCATTATCATCATCAGCAGCAGCAAGTTCCGCAGCAGCAGCATCGTCAACATCGCAAGCATCCTCACCACCATCACCATCACCATCACCATCAGCATCGACAGCATCATCATCATCGTCATCATCATCATCATCAGCAGCAGCAGCATCACCCTCATCATACGCATCATCTTCATGGATCATCACCACCATCATCCTCACCATCATTAAGAGCAGAATCAGCACCATCCACATCGCCGTCGCTATTACCAACAGCAAGATAATTGTGATATGCATCGTCACAGTCATCATCATGATCACCATCAACATCATCAGCATCATTATCATTGCCATCATCATCCGCAGCATCACATCATCGTCATCATCAGCAGCATCGTCATCATCGTCATCAGCAGCATAATCAGCATCATCATCAGCAGAAGCGTCAGCATCATCATCAGCAGCAGCAACATCATCAGCATCATCAGCATCATCAACGAAATCATCAGCAGCATCATCATCAGCAGTAGCATCATCGTCATCATCATCAACATCATCATCATCATCATCATCATCATCATCATCATCATCATCATCATCATCATCATCATCATCATCATCATCATCGTCGCCATCATCCGCTTCCTCTTTCCTTAACCTGAATGCCGCATGCCTCTGCTACCCACCCACCCACTCTAGCCCAGCCGAGCGTTGGAACGGAGCCACATATTTTGACGTCCTCACCGAACGCGACCTGCGTGGCTGGTTTAGGGCATCTATCACATGAAGGGGGGGGACGAGCACGGGACGGGGGAGGAGGCAAGAGGGACGACGGAGACGAAGTGGGAACATGACGACCATGAAGACGAGGAAGGCGAGTGGGAGGAGCAGCAGCAGGAAGAAGAGGAGGGTTAGGGGGAGCAGAAGGAAGAGTAGATGAAGGATGATCAGAATCAGAGTCAGAAGATTGAAAAAACGAACGTGCTAAAAAAAACAATGATCCTGTAGGAATGTGAGAAAGAGAGGGGGAGTCGGGGCGAGTCGCCTGACTCAGAATGAGAGGAGGAAGCACCCATGCACAACCCAGCCAGAGAGCGAGCAACCCACTGCACCAACTCGGACCAACCCGGTGGGCTCGGCCGACCTGGCAGGACTCAAGGTCACACCCGACTACAGTCGGGGCGTTGACCTAAGGAACCCTAAATAAGGAACGAGGCCCCTCTTTTCCATAAGTCAACCTTCGGTTTCCTGTCGAAAACATAAGGGAAGCCTGAGGCAAGCGGTGAAACACGTAAGGAACGCGGAGCCCCTCCCCAACGAAAAGGGTTCCTTCTTCAAGGCCCCGACTGTACGACGACGAAAAAAGAAGAAGAAGAAGAAGAAGAAGAAGGCGACGACGGAGAAGACGACGACGAAGAGGACGACAACGACGACGAAGACGGCGACGGCGCGCAGGAGACGGCGAAGACGAAGACGACGCCGACCAACGACGCGCAGCTCGAAACCGACTCGGCTCGATGACGCGCGGCTCGATCGAACCGATCTCGGCTGCGCCCGGCGGGGCCGAACACTCGCCCGATAGGGCGACACCACGACTCCTTCCCCCAATCCTCCTGCTCGCCTCTTCACAGTCTTCCTCCTCCTCCGCCTCCTCCATCCTACATCCCCCATCATCATCATCATCATCATCATCATCATCATCATCATCATCATCATCATCATCATCATCATCATCATCATCCTCCTCCTCCTCATCCTCCTCCTTCCTCCATCATGCACCCTCCATCCTCAACCCTCCTCATCATGAGCCCTATCCTCGTCCTCCTCCTCCTCCTCCTCCTCCTCCTCGTCCTCCTCCCCCTCCTCCTCCTCCCCCTCCTCCTTCTCTTCCTCCTCCTCCTGCGATACCACCTGGTCTTCCAGATCTGTTTTTTGGGGGAGGAAGGAGAGAAAACAAAAAAAGGAAACGCCTCCTCGTCCTCCTCCTCCTCTTCCCCCCTCCTCCTCCTCCTCCTCACCCCACCTCCCCCCTCCTCCTCCTCCTCCTCTTCACTCCCTCCTCCTCCACCTCCTCCACCTCCACCTCCACCTCCACCTCCACCTCCACCTCCACCTCCCTCCACCTCCACCTCCACCTACACCTCCTCCTCCTCCTCCTCCTCCTCCTCCTCCTCCTCCTCCTCCTCCCCCTCCTCCTCCTCCTCCCAGAGTCTAGCTTTTTGCTTCCCCTGCCCCCCTCCCATAAAAAAGTGTAATAATAATTCCTATAAGATAAAATGAAAGAAGAAGAAGAAGAAGAAACAAAAAAAACGCGGCGCGGTCTCATTTTTGGGGGGGGCTCTTCCTCCTCCTCCGCGCTGCTCCGCTCGTTCCTTCGTCTCTCCCCCGCCCTCCTCCTCCTTCCTCCAGAATCAACATTTTTGCTATTGTGATGCTTCGAGAGAAAGAAATACCACAGGTGGCATTGCAGTGGCATTGGTTTGGCCATGGTTTGGTATCGCATTGGCATTGCGTTGACATGGCGCTTTGCAGTGCGTTGGCATTGCGCTTGCATGTCGCAAGCATTGCGCCGGTGGGTCCTAATGGAACCCTCCACAGAAAGACTCAGATTGAAACCTTCTACCAAAATGACTTCGATTGAAACCTTTTCGTAAACAGGGTTCATATTGAAACCTTACAGAGAAGGGTTCCATGCGAAACCCTCCACAGAAGGATTCCGATTGACATCATCACACATGTTTGTTTTCCAATTGGCATTGCATTGACATTGGGTTGGGATCGCCTTGGCATTAGTTTGGCATTGCGTTGGCACTGCTTTGGCATTGCGCTGGCATTGTACTTCAGAGTTCCAATGCCTCCCTTCGCAGGATGATTCCTATTAAAACCCACAGAAGAAGGATTCCGATTGAAACATTCCACAAGAAGGATTCATATTAATCCCCTTCAACGCAAGATTCCATTCGAAGCCCTCCATCGAAGGAGTCCTATCGAAACCGACCACAAGCGATTTCCCCCAGGCATGTCATTGGCATTGGATTGGGATATTGGGACTGCCATGGTATTGGTTTGGCATTGCGGTGGCATTGCTTTGGCATTGCGCTGGCGACTTCTAATGCCTCCCACCACAGAAGGATTCCTAGTTTAAACTTCCACACGAAGGGTCCCCCACATGAGGGGTTCATGGTGAAACCCTCCACAGAAGGATTCCTGACGAAACCCTTCACAATAATATTCCCGTCAATTTCCTTCGAGTAAGGGTCCGTAACCAAATCATCCACATAAAAATTTCTGTTGAAATCTGTTGGGCGACTGGAATCATGCCATCGGCATTGCATTGGCATTGGTTTGGTAACGGTTTGACATCGCATTGGCATTGCGCTGGCATTGCGATGGCAGTGCGTTAGCCGTGCGTTTGCATTGCGATGGCATTGCGCTGGCGAGCCCCAACCAAACGCTCCACATACGGATTCCGATTGAAAACGTCCACGGGAATGATGCCTACGGCCCCCCCACAAGAAGGTTGCACATTGCAGTCCTCCACAGAAAAAAAAGGGTTCCATGCGAGCCCCTCCACAGAAGGATTCCTAGTGGAATCCTCCGAAGAAGGGTCATTAGAAGGATTCCTTTGTGGATGACACCATCCACCGAAGGGTTCTTCGAAGGATTGCTAGTGAGCGCTACCACAAGCAATCCACCCCATTGGCGTTGCACAGGCATTAAGGATGGATCGCCTTGGCGTTGGTTTGGCATAGAGTTGGCACTGCTTTGGCATGGCGCTGGCGAGTCCTAGTGCCTCCCTTCGCAGAACGAATCCTATTGAAACCCTCCACAAGCAAGGTTCCGTTTGGAATATACAACAAAGGATTCCCATCATTGGCATTGCATTGGCATTCGATTGGGATCGCCTTGGCATTGGTTTGGCATTACGATTGCACTGCTTCGGCATTGCGTTGGAATTGCGCTGGCGAGTCCGAATGGCTCCCTCCGCAGAAGGACTCCTACTGAACCCCCACAAAAGGATTCCGAGTGAAACCGTCCACAGGAGGATCCCTATCGAAACCGTCCACAGACTGATTCCTATTGAAATCCTCCAAATAAGGATTCGCAATGACGCCGTCCACAAAGGATTATGATTGAAATCTACCGAGCGGAAGGATTTCCGCACTGGCATTGGATTGGGCACGGCTTTGGCATTGCGCTGGCATTGCGCTAGCGAGTCCTCGTGCCTCCCTTCGCACAACGAATCCTACTGAAACCCTACAGAAATAGGATCCCCTTTTCAACATCTACCACAAAAGGCTCCTCCCCATTGGCATTGCATTTGCATTGGATTGGGATCGCCTTGGCATTGGTTTGGCATTGCGATGGCACTGCTTCGGCATTGCGTTGGCATTGCGCTGGCGAGTCCGAATGGCTCCCTCCGCAGAAGGACTCCTACTGAACCCCCCACAAGAAGGATTCCGAGTGAAACCCTCCACAGGAGGATCCCTATTGAAACCCTCCACGAAGGCATTTCTATTGAAATCCTCCGAAGAAGGATTCGCAATGACACCGCCCAAAAAGGATTCTTATTGAAATCCACCGCATTGCATTGTCATTGGCATTGGTTGGCAAAGGGATTGGTATCACATCAACATGCATTGGCCTGGTGCAGGAGATAGACAGAGAGACACAACGAGAGAGAGAGAGAACACGAGATAGCGATATAACGAGAGAAGCATATTATGAGGGGAGCACGGTGAACAGAAAAATGTCAAAAAATCATCAAAGTTTAAAGATGAAGGAGCGTTCCACTAGATGAATATCATATCAAAACGACGTGTGACTCCACAATCCCCCAGCCTCTCCTCCTCCTCGTCCTCCTCGTCCTCCTCCTACTCCTCCTCCACCTCCGCATCCTCATCTTCATCCTCATCCTCCTCCTCCTCCTCCTCCTCCTCCTCCTCCTCCTCCTCCCGGCCTGCTCAAAAAGCGCTCTCGCAGGGTGTCGTCGCAGGGCAGAGGGAGCACACGGTCACCAAGCAAGCCCGAGCCGGATCTACTCACGAAACCGGATCGAGTCGGACACGTACCGGATCGCCAGCGGCTCGCCCCGAACCGCATCGAAAGCAGATCGCCGCGACTGGCTCTGGCTGGCACTTGCCGATGTCGAGCCGGGTCAAAACTGCGGTCCAAGCCAGCGAATCGAATCACGGCGAAGCGGATCGGAGGCGGCCTTGTCGGGAGTCTGGCCGGCGGAGGGAGGGGGAGCATCCCTTGCGGGGCCCGGGAAGGCCTTCTCCTGAAGCCCTCCAACTTCTGCGAGCAGCGCGGACTCTCGGAATCCCACACCCTCCTAGAACTGAAGGAGGAGGAGGAGGAACAGAAGAAGAAGAAGACGATGAATAAGAAGAAGATGAAGAATAAAAAGACGATGATGAAGAAGAAAAAGAAGAAGAAGGAGCGGGGGGGAGGAGGAGGAGGAGGAGGAGGAGGAGGAGGAGGAGGAGGAGAAGAGGAGGAGGAGGAGGAAGAGGAGGAGAAGGGAGGAGAAGGGAAGAGGATGGAGAGAGAAGGAGAAGGAGAAGGAGGAGGAGGAGGAGGAGGAGGAGAAGGAGCGAGCTGGAGGATCAGGAGAAGGAGGAGAAGGAGGAGGCGAAGGCGGCGGAGGAGGAGGAGGAGGAGGAGTGAGGAGTGAGGAGTGAGGAGTGAGGAGTGAGGAGGAGGAGTGAGGAGTGAGGAGGAGGAGGAGGAGGAGGAGGAGGAGGAGGAGGCGGAGGGGGGATGAGGAGGGACTAGGAGGGAGGAGGGAGGAACGAGGAGACCCGATCCTGGCCAGGTACCACCTCGGCCCAGGGCCGGCGGGCACGCCGACCCGGCAGGGGTCGGCCCTGCCAGGACCTGCGCCACTCCAAGGGAAGGAGCTCTTCCTTGTCCTTGGCCGCTGCAGCCTCCTCTCTGACCAGCAGCTGCACGGCTCCCTTGCGGGCGTGCAGTCCTCCCGTCCCATCGCTGGACCAGAGCACCGCGGCTCGCTGGGCCCTGGGCGAAGGCACAAACGGCCGAGGCACGCACAACGAAGGCAAGGAGCTCGTCGCCTTGTGCCAGACAGTCGCCGCATCCTGGGCGCAGAAGTTGTGACTCGCCGGCCACTGAAGCAGAATTTGCCTGAGCACTGTCGGGGAAAAACGTCCGAATATCGGACTCGGGAATATGCTGGCACGCTCTAGCCTTCGCTGGACCGTGTCGCAGAGCTGCGAACTTCTCTGGGCAAGTGCAGCGAATAAATCAAATTGAGTGTAGAGGCGTGAACGGCTTAAAGGGATGCGCACTAGCACGCTCCTACACTAATAAGTCCGGGCGTGAACACACGTGCTCCCGTAGGCGCGTTTTTATTCAGACAGTGAAGCGTCAGCTCCGCCAGCCCCCTGAGGGGGTAAAGGCTGCGAACATTGATGCTGGACTGCTGTCTTGTCTCTTTGGGTATCTGGTATCTGGTGTCTGCCCCTTTTCTCTCCAGGGCCGTCTACTTTCTGCTGTCTACGATTTCCGTCCGCCCCCTAAGGAGGACGGAAAAGGTGAAGCCACTCGATCGTTGGAGTAGGAAGGCGCTCAACGTAGATTGGCATCTGGGAATCCAAAAATACCTACTTTCAACGACCGATGGGTACTACCTTTGAAGGACGAGGGCAGCAACTCGTAGCAGCAGGAGGCGCAGCAGCAGGAGTTGGCAGCGCACGCCGCCCGCGCCCCTCAGAGGACGAACCTCGTGGGGCAAGCCGCCTCCACGTCGCCCGGGCCCCAGACCAGGCACTGCACGAGCACGCTCGCGAGGTCGTTCCAGGCCACCGGGTGGTGGCGCTGCAGCTCCATGCTCCAGCCCTCCACCTTGATAGCGCCCACTTTCCACCACCACTACCATAGGCAGGAGAGGGAGGAGGAGTGAGGAGGAGTGAGGAGGAGGAGGAGGACGACGAAGAGGAGGAGGAGGAGCAGGAGGAGGAGAAGGAGGAGGAGGAGGAGGAGGAGGAGGATGTGAGGAGTGAGGAGTGAGGAGTGAGGAGGAGGAGTGAAGAGGAGGAGGAGGAGGAGTGAGGAGGAGGAGGAGGAGGAGGAGGAGGAGGAGGAGAAGTGAGGAGGAGGAGGAGGAGGAGGAGGAGGAGGAGGAGGTGGAGGACCTCGTCCTCCCTTCTCCCCCGTATTACACGTGGCAGTGGTGATGGAAAACTTGCCCACCACACCTCGCGCATCAGGCCCTCCACGGCGCCCGCCGCGGCCTCCCGCCGCCCAGGGCCCGCCTCTGGGCACGCGCCTGCGGCCGCCGCCGCCCCCGCGCCGGCCACGGCCCGGCGCAGGAGCGCCTCCCAGGCGCCGTGCTCCGCCGAGCCGCCGAGCAGCTCCAGCACGCCCTCGAACTGGGCGGATGGCGCGGGCGCCTGGTCGCCGCCGGGCTGCGCGCTGGAGTCTGCGAAGTGGCAGGGCAGCAGCGGCCGAAGGAGCTGCGCGACGGGGCGCTCCAGGCCCGACAGGAGGCACAGGCACACCAGCCGGGGCAGCACCAGGAACAGCTCCGCGTCGCGGTCCTCCAGCATCTGCTGCAGCGAGGGCGCGGCCCTGAGCGCCCTCGCCAGGAAGCTGGCGAGCGCGTGGACCCCCTCCATGAGGTGCGGATTCTCCGTGTAGAAGGCGAAGCGCTCCCAGCTGTCCTCCCAGCAGGCCAGCCTCTCGGCGAGCCCCTCGTTCTCGCGGAGCTGGGGGCGCAGCTCGTCCAGACGCTCGCGCGCGCAGGCCAGGTACTCGCGCAGGCCCCTGGAAAAGGAGGAGGAGGAGGAGGAGGAGGAGGAGGAGGAGTGAAGAGGAGAAGGAGAAGGAGGAGGAGGAGGAGGAGGAGGAGGAGGAGGAGGAGGAGGAGGAGGAGGAGGAGGAGGATGAGGAGGAGGAGAGGAGGAGGAGGAGGAGGAGGAGGAGGAGGAGGAGGAGGAGGAGGGAGGGAGGAGAGGAGAGGAGGAGGAGGAGGAGGAGGAGGAGGAGGAGGGAGGAGGAGGGGGAGGGGAGGGAAGGAGGAGGAGGAGGAGAAGGATGAGGAGGAGGAGGAGGAGGAGGACGAGGAGGAGGAGGAACCTGTAGGACTCCACCGCCCGCGCGGCCAGCACGACGCTGGGCACGTGCGGGCCCTCGCCGCGGAGCGGGCCCGCGATCGCCACCTCCTGCACGGCCTCGCCCAGGACCTGCAGAGCGAGCTCGGGGACCTGTGGGACACACAGAGACATAATAGTGCTACATGTCCGTAGGCTGTTTGGGCCAAGCCTCAGAGCTGAGGGCTAGCGAAGCCGAGTCCACGCTCCCAACGCGTGGGAGGCAAGATGGATAGATTCCAGATCAGATTTGAATCTATATAAATATATATATATATATAATATATATGTATATATAAAAATGTGTATATATATATATATATATATATATATATATATATATGTATGTATATGTATATGTTTATATGCGTGGGTGGCACGCACAGAGACGAAATAGTGCTAGATTCAAGTGAGGCGTGTCCACCTACAGGGGGATTTTCGGCGAACAAAATTCTCAAACAATACCTCAAAATAGTCTAAAAAGAATCCAAAAATAGTCTGGATATTATTTTTTTATATTTTTGACCCATTTGGAGTATGTGTTGCATATTTTCTATTTTTTGGCCGAAAACCCCCCTGTAGGGGGACCGGCCCGACTGAATGCTGTATGTCCTCCTTGGAGGTGCGCGTCCGACCCGAACATACAGTATGCCGATCTTGAGGTAGATCGCTTCCCGAGCGGTGTGGCCCGAAAGTGCCCGCCACGACGCACGTACGATCATATGAGATGTCTCGGTGCGCGCGCCGCCCCTGGGGGGGGGGCGGCGCACACATCGTATCAGTATGTTGGGGTGCCGCCGAGCACCTGGGTGGAGGGCCTGGGAATCCCCGCGGCAGCGCTCAGGTCGCCCAGGAGCTCCAGGAGCGCCGCCTCCTGCTGGCGGCACTCGTCCATGGCGGCCGCCGAGCCCTGGCCAGCGAGCCGGGCCTCGGCGGACCTCAGGCGGCGGTCCTGCAGCACGGCCCGCGCGAGCAGGTCCCTGGAGCGCTGCCTCGCCAACGACAGCCCCTCCACGTAGGCCTCCTCGAAGCCCGCCCACGCGGCGTCGAAGCGCCGCAGGCGCGCGCAGAGCGCCCCGCGGGCCCGCTCGGGCCCGCGCTGCGGCGAGGCCCACGCGTCGAGGAGCCGGCCCAGGCCGAGCAGGGCCTCCCGCAGCTCCGCGGCGGGGGCCGCGAGCGCCCCGCCGCGCCGCGGGGCCTCCGCGCCGGCCCCTGGCGCGGGGGCCAGCGACAGCGCCGCCTCGAGGATGTCCACGCGGTAGTTCCGCTGATCGGCGAAGAACAGACGCCAGAGCCGAAAGCTTGCAGAGGTCCGCGCGGGTTTCCTGGGTCGGCGCTGGGGGCCCCCCTCCCTGGCGCGCAGGAGGCGCCGCCACGGGGACCCAGCGCTGACCCAAGAGATCCGCGCGGACCTCCGAACGCTTATGTTTGCGCAGTCGTTTCCTCTTCGAGCTGAGACCCCGAAAACATCGCCCGGACGTCTGCGGTGAACTTGCTGCGGTACTCCCTGGGCGCGCTTTCAAGGCTGAGGGCCAGTGCGACCTTCTCCACCTTCTTCAAGAACCTCGCGCACCCCTTGCGGCCCTTCTCGCTGTGTGTGTCCAGCCTGTCTCCGTCGCGCACACGTTTATCCCTCGCAACTGCAAGCATCACCACAGAGCGAAGCTCCTCGTGGTCGAAATCGAACGCATCTCTTCCCAGGAGACTGTGGGCCAGGGAAACCACAGCTTCGTAGCGATGGCCAACAGTGTCGGTGTTGGCTGTCATTTTGTCAGGCTGAACGCTGAAGTTGCAGTTTGCAGTCGAAGTAGCGTAAGAAAGTGTGAGGCAACAGTAATTGGATGGCGCAGATGAGTGAGTGATAAGCAGTCGGCAAGTTATCGTTCGGTCTATGATCGGACTCTTGGGCCAAAACGGCTGAGATGGGATGAATAGAAGGAAGGGGAGAAGGAGGAGCGAAAGTCTGACATGCAACAAAGCAGAACAGGAGATGCACACGATGAGTGAGCGCCCCATCAGCGGGAAAAGCGAGAAAGAAAAAGCGGAGGTCAAAGCTGGAAGAACACGGACTCCGCCACTGAGCTGCAGAAGCACGCGCCCCCGGCAGTCTTGAGAACGTCGCTGGCAACCATCTTGCGCGAACGACGCGGTCGCGCGAAGTGCGGCGCCATCGCGGCTTGTGAACTTGGTTGCGCCGGTTTGCTCACGAGGCTGCGACTTTTACGCCACGGAAATCAATACACAGGCGCCCTCCCACGAACTTTGCGTGTACCCTTCAAGGAGGACGGCGGTGTAGAAAGTCCTTGGCTCCCAGTGGTGATTTACACACCACCACCTTCTCCTGAGGCCCAGGAACAATATATATATATATATATATATATTGGAGGGTGTCTGTGTATGTTCCTGGTCCTCCGCAGGCCCCCCAGCCCCGCTGCTGCTGCTGGCCCCGCGGCGGCGACGGCCGCGCCATGCGCCCCGGGGAACGACCCGTTCCCCTGAGCGGCACCGGCCCGTTTCCTCCTCCTCCTCGGCCGTCGCTTCGTGGTCTGCTCCCCCCCCTCGCCCATGGTGGCACAGTTCGCCTAACGGCAGCCCCGTGCTGCTTCTTCGCCAGCGCAATGACTCTGCCTAGCCGCCGACGAAAGAAACAAAAAAAAAAAAACAAAAAAACGTAACGTTTTCGCGACGCCGGATCTCGAGGCTGAGGAGAGGAAGGGCGGGTAGAGGCGCAGGGGACCCCTGGAGGGATCTTCGGGGGTCTCCGAGGGTCTCTCTGGAGGTCTCCGGGGGCCCCCCATGGAAGCCTCAGGAGGTCCCTGGAGGTCTCCGGGGGTCCCCGCGGGCCTCCGCAGGCCTCACACAGAAGGGAGGGGCAGCAGAGAAGAAGCTCCACGAACCTTTAAGACCCCGATCCTGGACCGAGGGCTCCGTGGAAGGGACGAGTGCGCGTGAGAGCCCACCTGCAAGTGCCCACCCCCTGGGGGGCAGAGCCCGCACTATGAGTCGGGATGCCCCCCAGACACGCGTGCGCCTTGAGGGCAGCGCACAGTGAGGTTAGAGGTAGAGAGATGTAGGTGTCGCCACCGACATGGCCTGCGACATCTTCACAGGCTCCGGGGGGGAGGGGCGGGGCTGACCAGCCAGCGTCCGTTTGTTGCTTGGGCCAGGGCGCGGGCACCCCGCCGCGCGGCCAGGAGCGTGCCATGCTCTCGCTGCCCGGGGCCTATCGGCGATGCGTCGGCGACGACTCGTCGAGTCCAGGGGCGTGTAACCCTCCTGCGGGCCCCAAGAGTATACACCACCACCACGCCGATTCCTCCTCCCTCCTCTACCCTCTTCGTCGTCGACTCTCTCTTGGGGAATGGCGTGGGTGGGTGGTGGTGGGGTGGTGGTGGTGGTGGTGGTGGTGGTGGGGTGGTGGTGGTGGTGTGGTGGTGGTGGTGGTGGTGGTGGTGGTGGTGGTGGTGGTGGTGGTGGTGGTGGTGGTGGTGGTGGTGGTGGTGATGGTGGTGGTGGTGTATGTGTGGGCCCCGAAACTTCTACTCCAGGGTGACGCAACTGCACTACTGCCGCCACCTGGGGAGAGTCTCGAACGAGTAGGGCTCCGAGGGACAGCGGCCACCCTTCACAGCGACTTCGCTCAGCAGGTCAGCACGGGGGGGGGTCCTAGGGCCTGCGACGCGCTGAGAAGCGTAACGGTCACACCTCGTTCGAATGACCAGCATGGAGCGGTCAGAGCAAGGCAGGGCAATCCGCCAGCCCCCGTTGGAGCCGCAAGGCTGTAAAGATCCCTGCTGGGCTACTATCTCCCATTCTTCCCCACCCGACAGGATAGGATTGTTAATTGGTTTGGCTCTTGCTTTTATACTACAAAAAACTCGACGCGGCCGCCCACCCCGCATACCGCGGCCGCCACGCCACAAGAATCCACGCTGACCCGTCAGTACCCTTCCTCGCGCCCTCGGCAGATTGGCGCCAGAGCCGATCGGGCATGCCGCAGCCGCCAGGCCCCCAATAACCCCAATAACTCTGCTACTCGTCTGGCTCCGCGAACTCCGCTGCCCCGCTGCGTGCCTCCCAGGAGCCCACGACAGTGGCGACAACTGCGCAGTTCGCAACCACCCAGGCAGCTGCGAGGTCCCGCCTGGATCCGCGCACTCCGCCACCCCGCCGTGCCTCCCAGGAGCCCACGCAAGGGGCGCCGACTACGCAGCTCGCAGCCACCCACGGGGCTGCGAGGTCTCATCTGGGTCCGCGTACCCTGCTACTCCGCCAAGCCTCCCAGGAGCCCACCAGAGTGGCGACAGATGCGCAATTCGCAACCACCTCGGCTCCTCGGCCGCGCCTCCCGGGAGCCCATGAAAAAAGGCGGCAGGTGCGCAGCTCGCATCCACCCAAGGAGCTGGGAGGTCCCGTCTGGGCCCGCGTGCTCCGCCACTCCGCCGTGCCTCCCAGGATCCCACGACAGTGGTGACGATTGCGCAGTTCGCAACGACAGAAGGGGCCGCGAGGCCTCGGCTGGGCCCGCGTGCTCCGCTGCTCCGCCGTGCATCCCAGGAGCCCAAGCAGGGGGCGCAAATGGCACAGTCCGCAGCCACCCAAGGAGCTGCGAGATCTCTGCCAGATGAATATTTCACTGCGATCGTATGTCAAGGTGAAGGACCCCAGTGCAGACGCGAGCGCGCGCTGCGCTCACGGCTCAGCGGTTCGAGAGCCACGAGCCTCGAAGCGTTGCCATGGCCGAGCGTGAGCAGTCGCGCTCGACCAAACGACGACTGAGAAACACGAGTGCCCGCCGCGTGCCTCCCAGGAGCCCACGACAGCGGTGACAACTGCGCACCTCGCGGCAGCCCATGGGAGCCGCGAGGCCTCGGCGGGGTCCGCTGCACGCCGCTGCTCCGCCGTGCCTCCCGGGAGCCCACGCTCGTGGCGACGCGGTTGCGCAGCTCGCAGCCGCCCAGGGAGGAGCAGCGCAGGAGGAGGCGGGGAGCGGCCGCCGCGCAGGGAGAGGCGCGGGGAGAAGCGCGGGAGGAAGAGAGGAAGGTGGAGGCCGCAGCCCTCCAGTCGGAACGAGAGCCCAACGCAGGAGGGTGGGGAAAGCTTGGGTGTGCCGCAGCCGCATGGCCGCCAGCGGTTGCCCCTGGACTCCCACAGGAAC